AAAAAAAAAAAAAAAAAAAAAAATGTACTTATGCTGCCAGGGATTTAGCTCAATGGTTCCACCACCTGCCTTGCAAGCACAAGGACCCAAGTTTGATCCCCTTTACCAAAAAATAAATAAATAAATAAAGGGAGGAGGAAAAAAATGGAAATTATGACAACATCACTGTCACTGTCATTCCACGGCACTGGGAACTCTGAGCTATGCCGGGCAATACAGTACCCAACAGGCACGGCTAATCCCAGCACAGTGGCGTCACTGGCAGAACCCCTGGAAACGCTGCTTCCTAACTCCGCACCACTCCCAAGACTGAGTCAGAGCCCAGGCATTTGTGTTATTTATTCATAAATTCTCCCTGAGATCCCGTTATGCAGCCGGGGTTATTAATAATAGTGTAAAATTGGAAACAGAATGTCCAATTAATTATCAGACATCTTTGTGATGGAATATTCTGTCCCCATTAGAATTTATGTTTACAAAGAGTATGGTTTGCATGGACACAGAAAGGGGCTTGAGGAAAGCAAGATGTAGAATATTGGTAGAGAATGCTCTCCTCCACCACACACACACACACACACACACACACACACACATACCTGCAGGTACTGTGATAACGAGTGGTTCTATAACTTTTACATTCTTTTCTATATTTTCTAAATTTTCTACCAAGGTGCCTGAATGCTTTCTGCCAGGTGACTGAATTATATCCAGTCAGTCAGGGGCGGGTGCTGAGCAACGTTGATTTACAAAGACTGATCAAGGCTGAGGTGGCCGAAGGAAAGAGCTGTGTTATTCCATTTGGTCAGGGCTGGAATAACCTTGAGATTCCAGGACAGACCAAAGCCTACAGTTCAAGGAACCCTTTCAAAATATTAACAATGCCCCCAGCCTTCCTGTGAGGCAGTGGCAGTAACCAGGCTCCCCCATCCCTGTGGGCATCGCTGAGGGAGTGCACTGTATGTGCTGCCTTCCTCGGGGACCACCGTCCTGTGCCCACTCTTCACCCACACCAGTCACCTCCATCAGGAACACCAGGGCTGTGAAATGATTGGTGCAATTGGGGTCCTGGAGCATCTTCATGAGGAGGCCAAAGATAGGGCAGTTGTGCCAGCAGTGCTTCGTGACCAGGCACCTACCAATAAGAGCACCGTGCTCAGGATAGGGCCTGGGCCGTGGGAGAGGACCAGGAGCACAGAGGGGCCCCCAGCCAGGGATCCAGACTCAGCTCACCTGGCCACCACAGTGACTCCGTCATGGTGCCTTTCAGGATCAACAAGCAGCTCCCAGCCCCCGAGTTTCTCAATCTCAGACTCAAAGTTCCCATAACCGGAGCTAAGCAGCAGGGTCTTCAAGGCCTTCACGGTAGAACTGGGGAGATAACAGAAAGGAGGCGGGAAGGCACAGGCCACCACCACGCTTCTCCCTCTCCCCACCACCCTCCAGACTTCAGGAGACCTTGATGACTCCCAACCTCCCAGGGAACTGCTGCGAACTTTGGTACAGAATCTTTGTCAGCCTAGGAAGCCAGATTTAAAGAAAGAGCCTTTCCTAAAAAGCCCAGAAAGACTGTGTGAGATGTTGCATGAGCAACCTACTAAACGTCCCTCGAGAGGGCATGAGAGGGACGTTGAGTCCAGCAGGCTGGCGCCGAGCTGGGCAAGGGCGCCAGGCTGCTAATGCCCAGGGCACAGTCACTGACACACTGGCCCAGGGTACAAAGTACCTCACAGGGTCCACCCACTCAGCTACATGTCGCTGATCCTGGATCATTTCTGCATTCCCTTCCACCATGAGGAAAGAGGTCTGGAAGAGTAGCGCGATGAACAGAGGGGAGAAGAAGGTCTGCACCTCCATCTGCTGACTCGACTCCAGCAGAAGCTCATGGATGGCCCTGGTGGCCTGGGGGTGAGGAGTATAGTGAGGCCGTAATCATCTTGATCACCACTCCAAGGTTCTGTCCCCAGAAAGTCCCTTCCCACTGCCAATCACATGCCAGGCTTGCCTGGTGAAAGCCATTCTGCTTATAGCCAGTGAAAACTAACTTCCTGTGAACCAGGAAAGTAAAGGGCTGATTCTGGAATGGTGCTGTATTAAATACTCCTATAATCCTGGTGGTAGCGTTCGTCTCTCACCATCCTTGACAGTGAAGGACTGGCTGTGTGTCTGACCTCAAGGCACCCCAGGATGACTAGAATTCATCCTCTCTTTCTGTCCCCTGACATCTGGAAAACCTCCCTCCAGCCCAGTCCCAAGACTCTGCCATTAGAATGTTCAACAAAACCCTGGTACCTGGAAGGAAGAGGCCCACAGAGCAGACAGCCCAGCCCAGATCCCTCAAATCCCCTGCCCAGCTCCTGTCCCCCTGCTCTGCTGTCCCCTCCGTACAATCAGCGGGGAGATCTCTGCTCTCTGGCTGGGCTCCCGGTCCTGAGGAGCCTGCTGTGGAACCAGCCTCTGCAGCAGATGCTTCATGATGACTTCGCAGCCTTTCGGGAAGGACGCCAGGATCTCCCACGGTTTGCACACCTCTCTGCAGAGGCAGAAGCCAGCAGCACGGTTACCCCACAGGTTACCCAACTCTCCATGACACTTCCAAGGGAAGGGCTCTAGGCTCCTGGGCCAGCCCCAGTTCCTCAGCTTTCTTCCTTCTTTGAGTCTCCCTTCCTTCCCGCTCTCTTTTCTCCTTTCATTTCTTGCATCATTTCACCACCTCTAGATCTCCCTGTTCTCTGTCATCTCACACACTGGTACATCTGAAAACGCTCACTTGGTCTGGGAGCCTGATTTAAGAAAATATCTGAGACCAAGGCTTGTTGGTCGCAATTTTCCTTGTGACCCTGTGCTCCACGATCTCTTTACCCATCCACCACTGGAACATGGCCTCTGTCTTCCAGACGAGCCCCACACATGTGAGCCCATCACTCTGCAGGCCTAGTCTGGTCCTTGGCCCACATGCTCTCTTTCTCCTGGAATTCCACCAGTCTTTGCCTTTGCCTGGCTTAGCTCCCCACATCTAGACCTGACAAAATCATACATGGGAGAAAAGTACATATCTGAATAGTATTTCCTGCAACTAACATAATAAAACTTGAAGCAAATCTGTTTAATGGTGGTAAGAAATCATAGCCTTTTGAAGCAAGAGGAAAACAAAAACCAAAACTTAAAAAAAAAAAATCTACTGAATAACTTTCCTGGGTGTTTTTTCTTTTTCTTCCTTTGGTTTAAAGGCTTAGAGGTGGCTTAAAGGTGACTTTGGCTTAAAAGTGACCTCAGTGCTGAACTATGCAGCAGGCACAAGCAGCAAGATCTCCAGGTGAGAATCTGCCTGGCCAGAAGACTGGGAAAATGGGGCCCAGGGAGTTAGCAGAGGTGGAATCTTGGGTTTCTTTGTCTTTTTTTTTTTCCTTCTCCCATCACTGTCCAGGGCAACTTGAGCTGGGTAGTGGAAGCAGTGGTGGTGGCAACTCTAACACAGGCACCTGACTGAGACTTGTGGCCCCACAAGTCGGGGCGAGGGAGAAATTCCTATGATTTTTTTTTTTTTTTTGGTACCAGGGATGGAACTTGGGTCCTTGAACTTGCAAGGCAGGTGGTGGAACCACTGAGCTAAATCCCTGGCGCTCTGTTTTTACTTTGCATTTACTTTTGTGTGTATGTGATGCTAGGGCTCAACCCCAGGCACTGAAGCACACCTCAGCACCAGCTGATTCTCTCTCTCTCCCTTTCTCTCTCTCTCTCTCCTCTGTCTCTCTCTCTCACACACGCATTTCTTCACCCTCAGGTGGCTGTGCATTGATATTAACAAAGGCTACTAGAACTCTAAGAGGAAATCCAGCTTTTCAGGCAGAGGAGCTGGAAAGGGGATCCCTGGGATCAGAAAGTGACAGGAATCTTAGAGAGGAGGAAGCAGGAGAAAGGAATCCCCCAACTCTACACATGAGACGACACCATTCCTGCAGTCACTCCTGAGTTGCACACTCAAATAACATCACGACAGTGGATTGTTTAAGTACTATTTACAGTTGCATTAAAATACTCAGGCATAAAAGAAATAACATATTGCAATGTATATGTATATATACATATCTATATATGTGTATATACATATGTATATATACACATACACATTTGTATTTCCCAACACATATATATAATCTATATCATATATCATATATCATATCTATATATATGATATATATATGTGTTGAGAAATACAAAACATGATGAAGGAAATTTTTAAGAGATAGAAATAAATGGAGCAATGCTGGGAATTTAGCTCAGTGATTCCACTGCCTGCTTTGCAAACGCAAGGACCCAAGTTCGATCCTGGTACCAATAAATAAATAAATAAATAAATGGAGTGATACATCATGTTTGGAGACATAGAAGATGTCAATTCTCCTCATACTTATCTACAGAAGCAACACAATCTCAATAATAATACCATGAGAGTATTTTTTGAAGAAAGAAAAATGCCATATAAATTATAAAATTTATATGGAAAAGCCAAGGCAATAGAATAGTCCGAACAATTTTGGAAAAGAGTAGCAAAATTAGAGAACTCATAATTCTTGATCTCAAGACTCAACATAAAACTACACTTTTAGATTTCCAAGCATGTGCAAAGACCTGGGTTCAATTCTCAGTACAGGGCAGAGGGTGGGGAACACGACACTATCAGAGAGAGAGTGTGGCATTGATGAAGGATTGACAATTGCACTGACGTATAGATCCATGGTACAAAAGAGAAAGCTCATTGATAGACCCACACAAATACGGTCAAGTGATTTTTGATAAAGGTGCAAAGGCAATTTCATGAAGAAAGATTAGTCTCTGACAAATGGTGGAAAATAAAAGATAAATTGGACCCCGTCGATAAATTTTTTGCATTCTTAAGAGAATTAAAGACATTCTACAAAATGGGAGAAATTGTTTGTGAATCATATATCTGACAAAAGACTTTTATCCATAATAGAAAAAGACCTCTCAAAACTCAACAAGAAGGGAAAAAACCCAATTAAGAAACAGATTAAAGATTTAAACACTTGACCGAAAAAGATATATAAATGGCGAATAAAGATGCTCAAGGTCATTTGTTGCAGTTAACTGAGGATAATGAAAACTAAAACCACAATGAAATGTACTTGTTAGAACAGCTAACTTTATAAAACGACAATATTAAGTGTTGACAAAGACAGAAGCCAGTAGAAATCTCATTGTGTTACTTCTGGAAATGCAAAATGCTATAGCTACTGTAAAAAATATGTGTAGCTGCTTCTCTTAAAGTTAACAACCACATGCCTCCCATATTGTCCAGCTGCAATCCAATTCTTGGGAATTTACCCAAGAGGAATGAAAACTTATCTTTATACAAAAACCTGTACTCAGATGTTTGCAGCAGCATACTCATATTTACTAAGCCCTGGTTGCAGCCCAAATGGCGATAGATAAACTTGCTACACCCATACAATGGGCTATGACTTAACAATGAAAGGAATGGCCCTACTGACCCAGCCACATAAGTGAACCCCATACACATCATGCTAAAAAAAATGCAGCAGATTTAAAAGCCTACATACTATGTGATCCCAGTCATATGATGTTCTGGAAAGGGGGAAAGCACAGGGACTGAGGACAGGCCAGTGTTTGCAGGGGTTGAGGGTGGGGAAAGACACTGACTCCAGAAGGGGGCAACACAGGGAGATCTAGGAAGTTGTGCCTCGGTTGTGGTAGTGATGATTATGAGTATGCATTTGAGCAAATCTGTATAATTATATGTCAACACAGTGAATTTGCCTGCATATAAATTATTTTTAATTTAAGAAAGGAAATTATAGTGTAGCACACCCATACAATATAATATCAGGCAGTCGTTAAAATTATGCTCACAGCCGGGGATTTAGCTCAGCGGTTCGGTGGCCTGCCTCGCAAGCGCAAGGACCCGAGTTCAACCCCGGTACCAAAAAAATAAATAAAATAAAATTATGCTCACAGCCGGGGATTTAGCTCAGCGGTTCGGTGGCCTGCCTCGCAAGCGCAAGGACCCGAGTTCAACCCCGGTACCAAAAAAATAAATAAAATAAAATTATGCTCACAAAAGAATTTTAACTTGGGATATGCTATAATAAAATGTTAAATAAAAAATACAAACTGATAGATACAGTATGAACTTGACCTTTTTTTTTTTTGCAACCAGGGTTTGGTAAATATGAATAATGCCGCTGTAAACATTTGGGTGTAGGTTTCATATAAACACAAATTTTCATTCCTCTTGGGTAAGTTCCTAAGAACTGGATTCTGAATTTCACATGCTTTCCAACTTTTCTGTAATAAACTACACAACTCTTAGAATCACTGTACCGCAGATAAGTAAGAAACTATTACAAACAATGCATGGAGCAAAGCAGAAAGACCGTTGGGAGTGTGAAGGTGTAGAACTGGTACTGCCACTTACTTTTCCGTCTGGTCCTGTATCTTAAACAGTGTCAGGATCACTTCATCCGTGTAGGCCTGGGACAGGAGGTACAGGACCTTCTTTACGGTGTTCTGGGCGGTGGGCTCAGTGATGTTGTTCATGTGGATATAAATGTACTGGATGATTTCTGACACCTGCAAGGAGGCAGGGGGCGGTTCTTCCTATATGTGCAGCACCAGCTCGGCAGGGTTGCACAGCCAGGCCCCTGCGTCAGCTGCGGGGCTGCACACAATGGAGACAAGGCTTAAACTCAAGCTGACAGGAAATAAAACAGAATGAGCGCGCGCACACACACACACACACACACACACACACGAACCAAAAGGGAGAATTCTTAAGTGGACTTTGAAGCACTAAGCACCCCCACCAGGCTACCTTCCCAATTTCTGGAATAGAGTACTTCAGGATTATCTCCAGCATGCTGGAGGCGGCATAGATGTCATCCCAGCTGGAGCTGGTCATGCTCTCCATGGTCACCATGATCACGTCGGCTCTCTCCACAGGGGTCAGGTATTTCCTGAAGAACTGAGGGAGGACACAAGAGCTGCCTCTGCAGTGCCAGCATCTGCAGTGCCACAAGTGCCCCAAATTCTCTGGCCTCCAGGGACACGGGGCAGCCAGGATCCATGGAGGCAGGCCGTGGCTGGCATCTGACTGCTCTGCGTGCGAAGCCACCAGCTCTGAAGTCCCCAAGAAGGAGCAATGGTCCAGACAGTGTGACGAGGAGGGCGAAGCCAAAAGTATTTCTCCACCGAACGTGGAAGGCAGTCAGGTAAGCCCATTGGAAATGAATTCCGATGTCTGCTGCGTCTGCAGCATTCCAAAGCAGGAACTTCCATCAGGTGGAGCAAACCTGTCCCGTCTCAGGAGCTGCACATCCAGTGAAGTTTCATCATTAACAAGGTTGACGCCAGCTCTGTGCCTGGTTCTATTCGGCGAGCTGGGCACAGCTGAGAACAAGACCCCTGGATGCCTTTGCCCTCGATCAGGACAAATGAAGAAGCTGTAAGGAAGTGGGCGCGGACAGACTGGACCGGGTAGGGAAGGCTTCCTGGGCTCCATTCCCAAGGGAAAAGGGGAAAGCATTCCAGGCGGAAGGGACAGAATGTGTAATTGCCTGGAGTGCAGAGGAGTTTGGTTGATTGCTGTGCCCTGCATGGGAGACCTGGGCCAGGAGGAAAAGGAGAACTCAGACATGGTGAGACGGGGTAGTTAGAGCAGAAGCCACATCATGAAAGGCCTGTGAGTTAAGTGAGACAGTCTGGACCTCAGAAGACGGACCGTGCGGGATCGGTTTGTGGGCGGAGGAGAACGATAGGAGGAGGTTTGCATTTTAGAAACAGGTTCCAGCTGTAGCATAGGAAATGGTGTGAACCAGGTGTGGCTGGAGGAAGGGCAATCGTAAGAGGCCGCTGCAGTGAGCTGGGCAGGAGAGAGTGATGGACCGAGTCAGAAGCGCTGCAGCAGGGTTTGAGCCGCGGAGACAGACTCATGGCAGTTCAGGGGGCAGAACGGACAGACAGAGCTTTGCGCTGGGTGTGGAGAGGGAGGGCGGAAAGGGCAGAGAACGCCTAGTGGGTTTCTGGCGGGAGTGATTACACTGAGGCTGGGGACACCATCCCTAAGACAACGGACACGCCTTCACCGAACGGATGCTAGGCCCGGGCCACGGATAAAGGCGCAGGGAGAGACAATGGGGGTGACCGTACTTCCTTCTAAAATCCCTCTCTGACCTCAAACTTCAGTCAGCTTAAGCACAGGCAGGGGAATGGGCTTCACTCCTCCAGCCTCCTGTGCGTGCGAACTCAAGGCTGAAGACAATCCTGTCTGACCCCCTACGATGTCTCTCCCCAGCCCCTTCGCCTCTCTTCCTCCCCTGCCCCCTCACCCTCCCTACCCTGGGCATCCCGTGCACAGCACAGAGTGAGGGTTACCAGTGTGACATTCTGCATGCTGGCGAACCACTCCCCACGGAAATGCTTCTGCAAGTTCCTCAGGATGTTCACTGTCTTCTGCCTCACACCTCGGATCCAAAAACAGCAATTAAGGGGCTTGGCCTCGACAGGGAAAAAGGAACACTTTTTTCTTCCTTCCCTCCAAACCTCAGAGAGATCAACAGAGTTCAATGGTTTGCCTGACAGAATGAGGAGTGTTCCCTAGCACAAGGCCAATGGGTAGCAGGAGGACATGGCTGGGGACTCAGTCTGGTCACTCTCAGCCTCCACTGCCAGCCATGCCAGGACATGGACTGCTCCCACCCCTGCATGTGAACGCGGTGCACCACAACTGGATCACAAAAACCCAACATCTCTGAGGAGACTCTGGAGACTGCAAATTCTCGGGCACCTCTGTGTATGTTGCTGCCTATATCTTTGGTTTTCCTGGAGCAATAGGAGGCTCAGTCAAAGATTCCCAAATCTCTTCCCTGGAAAAGGATGCTGGTTTCCAGTAGGGGTGGACATCTGGGAAATCCTGAGGATCCAAGTGGATTCTATAGGTGCTGCAAGATTTGACTTCCCTCCTTGCCCCCCAAGAACTCCTTTACAAAGGACATTGTATCAGTGGTAGGGTTGGAGCTCATCCAGATAAAGTTCCCAGAACTTGTAATTGCTCGAGTAGGCTCCCTGGTCTTGGGGCATCCCGGCACACTGCCTCCAGTGCCCCCTGGTGCATGTGACACAGCATAGACACCCAGCAGCGCTGGGTCCTCGTAGCTGCAGATAAGCCCTGGGGCTCAGATCACTTACTTCGCTGAAGCACAAGGATTTTGGACAAGTAATGCAAAGCCTCTGACGCCCCCAGTCTGATCTCATGGCTGGAGTTCAAGCAGAAGAGGCCCAGGATGCCTATCAGCTTCCCGCTCATGGAAAACGACTCCATGTGCTGCCAGGAAGGGAACACTGGTTATCTCACCCTCCTGGAAGGTGCTTCTCCTACCAGGACCGTGGCAGGCCTGGGGGGAATTGTAAGATGAGGCCCCATCTCTGCTCCCCTCCTTCACCACAAAACCATTTGCCTATGTGAGTCCCTTCCCCTCCCCGGGTTCATACTCTGTCCTGGCCAAGAGGAACCTTTCTAATCGGCACCCAGAGGAAGAAGGCAGCCAGATCCCTAAAGCACATTAGTGGTGGGCAGCTGGGGCCCCAGCCTAGCTACCCAGGCCAAGGTCCCCCAGCAAGTGTCTAGCTAATTGGAGCTCACAAGGCCAGGGCCAAACATATGGGCACACTGACGAGGCGAGCCTCTTGTCTCATGGGAGCAGAACAGATCTGAATGCCCATACCCTCCAGGTACCACCTGCAGAGGCCTGGGCTCAGTCAGGTGCTCCTCGAGCTGAGAAGCAGGGCCCACGGGTCAGCACTCACCAGCAGTGTGGGGAAATTGCAAACAAATCGCAGCAACCGGGAGATGGTGCCCAAGGCCCGAGTCTGCTCATGCACTTTGTCTGACTGCGTTAACCAAGGCAAGATGATCTGCACAGGGAGCAAAGAGATGGGCAGTGCTTACTTCCCCACAGCTGCTGTCCCTGCCTTCCGAGTCTGGATTCCACATTCCTGATGCCAAAAAGACAAGTGGAAGGCAGTGTGGCAGGCACCAGAGTGCACGGACCAAGCAACTTGTGCCAGACTCTCTGGCACCTAGGTAAGTACCTTCAGAATCTCTTCCTGTGGCAGTGTTTGAAGACGGTGCTGCTCTTTCCCGGTAGAAATACAAAGCAGCAAGCAAGGACAGGTGGGAGGAGATGGAGGGATGGGGAATCTCTGGGCAGCACAGCTGCAAAACCCCTACCTGCTAGGTCAAGGGGAGGGGGAAATAGTCTCTGAAGGATGAGATTCAGAGTCATCAATCCCAGGAGATTCATAATAACAGGTGGGGGCGTGCACCAGGGATCCTAGCTGCTTGGGAGGCTGAGGCAGAAGGACTGCAGATCTGAGGCTTGCCTGGACAACTTAGCGAGCCCCATCTCAAAATAAAATAAAAAGGGCTAGGAATGCAGTTCAGTAACAGAGCGCCTGACCAATGTACAGGAGGAGGCCCTGGGTTCAAGCCTCAGTACCACAAAAAGAGGTCATGGGGGATGTGGAGGATAGATAATAGGCCCTCTGTACGGCTCGACTGTGGTTATGGTTATATGACTGGTGTATTTGTCAAAACCAGCTGAACTGCACACCAAGTGAATTACACTGTATGCAAATTATATCATGATTTTAAAAATGAAAAACAGGAAAGTCCTTAGGAAAACTACATAGTCCTCAAATATTTTTTAAAAAAATAGCCCTCTCTCTGATCCAGCTGCGTGTGCAAAGTCAAGTGTGAAATAAATGATATCACATCATTATGTAATTTGTAGAAAAAAATTATGTCTAAAATAGGTGCACTTGAATTTTTGTTTTAAAAACGACCAGCACTAAGACAGAAGAGAGGAAGGACAGAGTCTCCAGGAGCACAGCGTCAGGGGGCCGGTTCATCTAAACCCAACTTACTGCCCCAGGTACCTCGGAGAACCTCCTCTCCCCCTCGGACGCTGGCATCCCTGCAGCCATCCCTCCCCCGTCCACCTAATGCTCCTTCACAAGGTGGCGAGGAGGTGACCTAGAGAATTAATGACCGTTCCAAGAACAAAAGCAAAGAGTACACCCACCGTCTCGCCAAGACCAAAGAAACATCTAAGAGGTGCAGCAGATAATGAAGAGTTGGACATTAGAATGTTTACTGTTATTCCTTGAGAAACCAACAACTGCAAAAGGAAAATGTCAGCACATATTTCCAGCCCAAATATTTCGAGCCCAGGATTGTCTGCTCAGGATAGAGGAACGCATCCTCCCTGTTTCAGCTACCAATGGGTTTGTATTTTTTCCTGGTTTTTACTGTTTTGGTAAAATGAACTGAAAGAAAAAAATAGTAATACTACATGGGGAGACCTGGAACCGAACAAATCTGAAATTATTATATAGTAAATGCTTTTTTTTTCCCTTTCTTTCTTCATTTCAGATGGTGGTGCTAAACTTCCAAGTGCCATGAATTTTTTAAAAAGTATTTATTTTTAGGATGGGGGAGAAGATAACATTTCTGCTTTCTTATGTGAGTGTCTTTGGAAATGTACAGTAAGAAATTTCTCAAAAATAAAATTTGTACCCTTCAAAAAAAGAATGACCTCAAAGTAGCAAATATAATCCCAATGTGGTTGCATATAAAAAAACTTATTTCATCATTTTAATTTCATTTCTCACAATAAATCCATTTCCTCCATTACCTTGTGTGAAATGTTGGGAACTCTTTCTGCAGGGCTCCTCTGGTCTTTGCAGAGCAAGAGCCCCCGTAGGGCTCCACCTTGATCCTGAGCAGAGCTCGGTATTGCCACCCCCTGCAAGCCCCACAGTAACCCAGCATCTGTTACTACATCTGCAGTGAGGCTGTCTAGGAAGCACAGACCCTGCTTCTCAACACATAGAAACAAGACGTTCCAAAGAACTACTCCCCACATCCAAATGCGGATCAATTTCCCCCCTGGATGCAGCCCCAGTGCAGTTCTTTCATAAGATACCTGGGCAATCACTCCTATCTCTCCTCTGCAGTCACCACTAAGGTTTTATGTTGTCCCAATTAATTGCCATCTTGTCCATAAAAGGTGGTTTCAGGCAACTCTTAACTATTTCACCAATTCAAATTCACCCTAAGAAATGGCAATTTGTCATAACTAAGAACATTTTTAGAGGATCTAAAGACAATTCATGAAGTGCTTTGAGTCTCCCAAGGGACTCCATCAAGGAACATAAAAGCCAGGGTGGGTGAGGACTGAGCCACGTCCCTAGCCTCACCCCAACTTTTTAAAGACAGGTCTCACTAAGTCACTAGGTTGTCCTGGCTGAGCATGAACTGCAATCCTCTGGCCTCAGCCTGCCAGAGTGCTGGGACTACAGGTATGTGCCACATGCCCTGCTCCTGAGGTCTTTATCAGAGAGCAGTAACAGGCACTGTGGAGGAGCCAGGAGAAAACATTTTAAAGAAACAGAAGTCTGATGTGGATACAAAAGTTATTACCATCAAAGCTCCAACACGCGCAAGTTCTAAGACAGAAACAGGTCCTCGGCCTGATGGCTGTGCTTCTCAAACACTCCTTAGAAGGGCAGCTTGGAGGAGACCCAGGACTTGATCACAAGCAATGTTTATTCATGATGAACTTTAAGAACTGACCCATGGGTGTCGGAACAGAGGGACACCAGCCCACCGGCCCACTGCCCTCCAGAGACACAGGTCTAGAAGCAAGTTTCTCCAGCCACTTACCTCCAGGAAGTTTTCCAGTATGAGCATGTTGGGATCCATAGTGTCCATCACAAGAGCTTGTAACATGTCATCTAAGGCCTGGGTCACCTGATAAGTGAGGAGACAGGGCACATGCAGGGAGATGACTGCCACAGGGCTAGCCTGGCTCCCCAGGGACCTCCCTTCCTCCAACCCTGGTCCTTTTATACCTTTTATACCCTGTCACAGGAAGAGGGAGCCAGCTGGGCTTTGCCACCCCGGGTACCTTCTCATGGGGTGCCTTCCCTGGGTAACTTTTCTTGGCCTAATGAAAAGCACGACCAAGCCCAGCCCAAATTGTAGGACATACAGTGAAATGTAGGCATTTCGTCCCCAACAAAGACAGCCCCAAAGGATTCTCACCATTTCTGTCCATTCTAATTATAGGTACTTTGTGCATAGAGTAGGTTGTACTGGAGATTGAACCCAGGACCTTGGGGAATGCTAGGCAAGCACTCTCCCACTGAGATACTCATCCCAGCCCTAGATATTCCTATTTTTAAATCCAAAAATCCTTGGGAAGATTTGACAGTCTATACTGGTCAGTTATGAGCCTTATTTCTTTTTTTTTTTTTTTTTTTTTTTTTTTTTTTTTT